TAGTAGTATTAGTGGTAAAAGTAATAGTAGGACTTGCTATCAATCTTCTTATTGCTATGATTATGATTATCATTACCATTTTTATCATCATTTTCATTATCTTTATTGTCATTAGTATTTTTGTTATTATAATTATCATTCTTGCTGTTATTGTTGATGTTGTTATTAGTATGATTATTATAGCTATCATTCTTCTTCTATTTCTTCTTATTGTTGTTGTTGTTGTGGTTGCTGGTGTTATTATAATCATTGATAATATCGTTATTATCATCATCAAAAACAAAATCATCATCATCATCCTCATCCTCATCATCATCACCACCACCAACAACGGCGTCACCATCACCTTCGTCGTCTTCATACGCATCACCATTACCCCCCCCCCCCCCCCCAATTACCATCCACATCACCATCACTCTTCACTGTTTGTCGTTCCCTCCCGCAGTATCCCCGAGATCCCAAAACGGACACACGCCTTGGAACACACGGACACGTACATGCATCCTCTCCTCCGCCGCCGTCGTCCATTCTGCGATCAATCTCCTTATGAAATAGCAACGCTCTGTGCCGTGCTTGCCCTATCGACGTGGCAGCGGGAGCGGATTCCAATCAACAGCAGCCTCCGAGTTCGCCTCCGAGTTTGCGGAGATGAAACGGAGCATCCGTGAGATGTCTCGGCGAAATTGCGGGAGGATGGAGACGCCATAAACGACGGGGATGTCTTGATTGATGACCGGGCGGCTTTGTTGGGCGCGGAAGGGCATCTGTTGGCACTGGCTGCGCGGGCGGCGTCGCTGCCCTTGGTTATCGGTGCTGATGCGTCTACCTGGAAAGTTGATTTTGAGATAATGTGAATGATAGTGCAGATAATGACGATGATATATATACGTATCTACCTATCTATCTACACACGCACACACATATACATATATGTATACATATATATATAAGTATGCGTGTGTATATGTGTATGTGTATACATAAATCTCTCTCTCTCTCTGTCTCTGTCTCTCTGTCTCTGTCTCTCTCTCTCCCCCCCCCCCCCTCTCTCTCTCTTACTCACATACACACACTCGTTCATTTCCACGTGGCTGATGATGTAAAAGTAGATATTGGTGCAGGATTACGTCTCACCATAACGCGTGTTATCAGTGCGCGACAGTCCTCTATACCATATTGGAGTGGTATAACAATCTATATTTTATATTCAGGTTATTAATAAGATAATTACATTAGAATATGAATTGAACAATATGGAAAACATATTGAACGAATACTTTGCAAGAGATTCTTTAATATCCATAATTCAGTAGGAACAGGATATCCTAGACTAAGAGCGAGACTTATGGAAAATGCTTTGTAAACCAAGTACATAAAGCATAAAAACATGCAATAAATAATAAAGAAAGAAATGATATTAGCAACATAATGTGAGATGACAATGTTGAAATTGATAATGTTGCGTAAATAGTGATTGGAAGATGAGAAGGATATGACCTCTCGGTGCTGTTGCAAGAAAAGGGAAGAGGGAACGTAAGGTACAGAGAGATAAATACTAAAAAATTATTTTCCTTCTTGATATTTGTTTTCCTATATCTGCTGTTTTTTTTTTTTTTTTTTTTTTTTATACTTTTGGTGTTACTGTTATTATTACTGTTGTTGTTATTACTTCTATCGTTATTATTTTCTCTCCTCCTTTTCCTTTTCTTCTCACTCTTCTTCTACCTTTCCCTTTCTGCTCTCACTCCCAAATCTTCCTAAAACCAAAGCACTACATCTGCCCTTTCTCTTTTCCCTCCTCTCCTCCGTCCTTAAGCTCGGTCGATTTCTCCTACTTTTCTCCTCTTCCTCTTCCTCTTTCTTCACTCCCTCCTCCCCTTCCCTTCCTTATTCCCCTTTTCTCTCTGTGTCCCCTCTCTGTTGTCTTTCCCTTTCCCCTTCCCCATCTCCCTATCCTCTTTAGGTTCCATCTTTTCCCTTCCTCTATCTCCTTTTTCTTCTTAACCCCTACCCCCTTTCCCTCCCTTCTCCCCTCCCCTCACTTTTTGCTGGTCCCGGCAAACCTAACTATAAATTCAAGTACCCAACCCTTGATAATTTGAACAACTACCTAATGTGAACATTGAACAATTTTTTTGAGTCCCTTGAGCAAATTTTACCTGTTTATAATGAATACTCATCAGTTATTTGTGCAATGGCTTGGTCAACTGGTGCTAATTGATGTTGATATGGGCATGAGCATTGTGCTTGGGGCTTTAGTCCTGAAGAGGAATCAGTCCTTAGAGGTGTCAAGTGCTAATTAGGCCTTTGAGAACCTCATACTTTGTGGCTAAAGGTTTGAAATAGATTCAGTTCTTTTTTGTTATGGCTAATTAGAACTTTGATAACAGACTTAATTAAGAGATGTGAAGCTAAATCATTTTATACTCTGTATGTTTTGTTTAATCTGTCCTTATAAAAACTTTTGAGGCGTTTTGACAGCAGTATGAACACAGCCACCATGTCTGTTAAGAAGAGAGTCTACAACGAGCTCACCATTTCAAAGAAATTTGAACTTGTCAACAATGCTGAAAACAAGACTCAAAGACAGCTATCAAAGGACTTTGGTGTTTCCTTGGGAACTGTTTCCAATCTGCTGAAACGTAAACGAGAAATTGAAGAACTTTATGAGGAAAATGTCAGTAAAGAACGTTGCCGCAAACTACGAAAGACTGAACACGAACAAGTGAACGAACTGATGTGGGATTTTTTCCGAGAATGCAGAAGGAAGAACCTTCCTCTAAGTGGACCGATACTTCAAGCACAAGCTCTCGAATATGCAAAACGAGTGAATAACAATGACTTTAAAGCAAGTATTTGGTGGCTAGAAAGTTTCAAGACACAACATTTCCAGCAAAGAAATCTGTGGTGAGGCAGCTGACGTCTGTACGAAAACATGCGCTGACTGGAAAGAAAAGCTTCCCTCTCTCTGCGAAGGATATGACAAAAAGGACATTTTCAATGCCGATGAAAGTGGACTTTTTGACCATGGAATCCCTAACAAATCCCTTGTTGCTCGTGGTGATACTTGCAAAGGTCGAAAACTGTCGAAGGAATGCATAACGGTACTTTTTGGAGTAAGTCTTGAGGGGAAAAAAATTTAGCCACTCATTATTGGCAAAGCTCTGAAACCAAGGTGCTTCAAGAACATTGATGTTAGCAGGCTACCCACTCATTGGTATGTTAACAAAAAAGCCTGGATGACTAGCAGCATTTTTGAGGACTGGCTAAAGAAACTGAACAGAAAGATGCGTGCTGAAAAACGGAACATTCTGCTATTTATTGACAATGCTCCCTGTCATCCAGTTATCAAATTGTCCAAGTAAAAGTGATCATCTTCCCTCCAAACACGACGTCAAAGCTTCAGCCCATGGATCAAGGTGTAATCAAGCCTATGAAAGCTGTCTATCGAAAGCTGCTTTTGAGGGCGTTGTCGCTGAAGCTGGAGGACTGTGATTCGGTCACGGAGATCATACGTGAAGTGAGTGTCTTGGATGCCGTAAACTTGATCTATGACGCATGGCGTCAGTTGCCACCAGTGACAATAGAGAAATGTTGTCGTAAGGCAGGATTTACAACTGACATGGATTCCGATGAGGGAGAGGATGATCTCATCAAACGAGCATCCACCCAGCTTGGTCCTGAGCCAGTCTTGGATGCTGAGGAATTTGTTGACGCAGATGATTTGCTTCAAACGTGTGAAACTCTGAATGACCCGAACTGGAAAGACAAACTCCTAGAACAGCAAGAATCATCAAATGAGCATGATCTGTTTGACGATGGTGATGATGCAAGAGGAATAACTGTGGATGTAGAGGAGGAACCAAAATCTAGCAAGGAAGCTAGTGAGATGCTCAATAAACTTTTAAGATACGCATTGATCAGGGAACCTGGGCTGTTGGAAAACCTGCAAAAAGTGAAGTCTGATCACGATACTGCCAGACTGCAGAAACTGTTTGAAAAGCAAAAGCAAATGACAATTGAACATTTCTTTTCCAAGAATTGATTATCAGTTTAAGATCTCAACAGTCTCAGTACTACATGTGCTATATATGATATCAAGTCCATGTGCTTTATACCCATTGATAAGCCTGTGATATGATTTACCTTTGTAAATTGATGAATTTATATATTATAGGTAAAAGGTATTTAATAAATAAATACATAACGTTCAAGTTCTTAACTTCCCCTGACTTCGTGTCTGTGCCAAACTGGAAATCTTGATACATTGAACACCTGTCTATATTGAACACTTTTAGCTGGTCCCATGAGTGTTCACTTTACACAGGTTCCACTGTATTTTGTTCCATAAACGATTCACGTGGTCGTAAAACATCAGCTCTAACTGTGCACGATTTGTTTCTGTTATTACAAAATTGAATAAGACTCCCTATTTAAATATGGCATTACGATCAGGTAAACGATTATCATTCGGAGTTACAACTAATAACTATACAACCGAGAGCCAAAGAAATAATATCACTTTTATATTATAATTTCCTTACACACACGTAAAAAAAAACAGTGTTTCAGCTAACTTTTGTTTGAAAAATGTATGCTCCAGCTTTCTTATTTACAAACTAAGTTGAGCTTTATAATATATTCATTGTTTCTGAAAGGAAAGTGGACGCTTCACTGAGAAAGATACTGCCTCTGCTGCAGAAACGAGTGGAGAGAGAGAGAGGGAGGAGAGAGCGAGAGAGAGAGGGAGGAGAGAGCGAGAGAGAGAGAAGAAATAGATATACAGACAGAGAGAGAAACAGAATACTGATTATATTATCTTTTCATGTTTCAGAAGTTAGGGGATCTTGTAATATTTAAAAAAAGTAAATAAGCATGAAGATACAGAGTATCCATTATTCCCAAAGAGTATTCATAAAGATCATAATGGGTTTTGAAGATTTTTTTTCTTTCACAGCAACGACAAAACTTGATCAATCCAGTTCGGCTGAATGAGCAACCTATCTCCTCTAAATTCTACTGTTGTCGAAATCTGGCAACTTTTCGTGGAAGACATGGATCGGAAAGACGTAGCTGCTCTTTCTCTGTCTCTCTATCTTACTTGTTCTTTAATATTTGTCTAATGAAACACTACATTAAATTTCACCTCGTATTATGGCTGTGTTTCCACACACACACATACACATGTCTACACACACACACACACATACACACACACACAAATGCACACACACACACACACACACACACACACACACACACACACACACACACACACACACACACACACACACACACACACATACACCTATGCATGTAAATTACATATATTCTATGTACGTATTAATATCATTCATATTTATGGAGACACACACATGCGCAAGAATTCTAATCAACGTTAAAAATTCTCGCTGACTTTTTTCTCATAACCAGATCCTCGATCCAGTTTAATTAAACATGTCTCTGGAATAAACAAGAAAGCATTATTTAGACTGCGTACATTCGGATGTGTGTACACCTTTTTTTTAAGGACAGGAAACGGCTAAATAAACATAGTGAAGGTAATTAAAAAAGGCGATTAAATGAAGACTGTTAATTAGAAGGAGCAGCTCATGAAATATTAGGTTGTGACCTTAAAAAAATAGGTAATATAGTAGCAGAAATGAACAAGGTTAAAAGATAACTAAGGTGAAGTGAGGTGAGGTAAGAAACTTTTAATCTCATGTGTTTTTAGTTTTGATCTCAAGAAAAATCTGCAGCATAATTATATGGCTTTATTTATACCAAGTTTATGGTATAATGCAACAAGTACACAGTCTAAACATTAATCAGTTAAAACTTTTCACTTTTTTTACCGATAGGCAGTAATACTGTACACACACACACACACACACATATATTTTGGCTTTTCGACGTGTCAGACGACAGTCCCGCTTGCGGTAAGGCTTCCGATAAAGCAGCGGCAGAGACTACCGCAGATGTTGCAGGATATCACATGTCCAGAAGATGAAAGTTCGAGCACTTGAAGTGAGAGAAAAGGGAGCGTCCGCCATGCCTGAGCAGACGCTTCAGGACCCATTTTTTGTTGGACAAATAGTGTGCTTTGGTGTCAGGCATTCGGTCCTGCTTTGAAGTGCCACGGATCGTCCGAAGGCAGCGGAGAGGCGAGGTCTTTCGGCTCCTTGCTTGTTCTTTGTGAATTTCACCGAAGCATAGGGATGTCAGCATATATATATATATATATATATATATATATATATATATATATATATATATATATATATAATATATATAACTGTATGCATATATATATATATATATATATATATATATATATATATATATATATATATACATACTCACACATATATAAACCAATACATACATGCATACACACAAGCACATTCAGGTGTGTATGTAAATGCGTTGTGCGTGTATTTGGCATATGCATATCGATCTCTTTGCCTTATCACACGGCCATAAGAAATTCTACTAAAATCACGAGCATATTTCTTTGCATGTTTCGGCCTCTCATAACCTCGCATTAATCTTGATGAATCTCCGTTCTTTCATTTCATTAGCATCATGGGACGCCAACGTCAAGATACCAGCCTACGAAGCCGCCGTGGAAACGTTAATGGCAGTAATGACTATCCGGCAACGCAACCCGCTATCCACGGCCCTCGGGAATCAAAGAGACCGAGGCACGCACTCACGACACGGGAAGCAATCCGGAAAGAAATGAATAGATGAAAAAAATAAAAGAACAAACACGAAACCTCGAGGAAAATGACTACTTGACAACTCCTCAAATTACGAAGCGCCGACGACGTCCAACACATAAAGTCCTTGACGAGATAGACTGAAATTCAGACTTTAATTAGCCAACTCCCCGTCAAGAGGCGTCGTTACCGTGGTTGCCGGGGAGAAGTTCCGCGAATAGAATGGGAATCGATTTTTAACATCAACCATTTATCGTGGAGGCGAATGTCTTCTACATTTCCTTTTTCTTTATCTTCCTCTGGTCTTGAAATGTGTTTCGATAACTATTGCAGTGATGTCGGGTATGTACGAATGCTGTCGTCTGTGAATTTTTATTTACTTTTATTTCGTTTCTTTGAATATAGATGGCTTCGCAAGCGCACGGCTAACTTGTTTCGTTTATCATCACCACTACCATTATTATTATGCATTATTAACCGCATCATAGCAGATAGCAAGAACACATGCCGTGTCCACTAAAATATTAGTTTATTTAATGTATTTACACATAGATGGCTCTACAAGTGCTTAGTCACCAAGGACTCAGTTATTAATCTTACCTATCTCAACTGTTTATCCTTTTCCTTGACTTTTGGAAATTGTCTTTTGTATTGTTTCATTGTCTTGAGATTATAAGTAAGAAATTGATAGTCAACACTTCAATAACAATAATAACAGTATCGATATCAATTGTAATAAAAAGAAAAACACAATTCAAGGAATAAGGAAATCAGGATCGGTCACTAGGGTCTACTGATAGACTCCTTGCCTACTGAGCACATGTGGAGCCATCTGTACGTTACAAAGTTCACAAGAAAATTACAGGGGTCAGAACATAAATCCGTGGTGGTTGGGTTAAGTAAAATAATAGCCGAAAGAAACGGGTTTAGTAATTTATCATGCTTTTCTTAATGGATAATACTGATATTGGAGAGAGAGAGAGAGAGAGAGAGGAGAGGAGAGAGAGAGAGAGGGGGGGGGGAGGGAGAGGGAGGGAGAAAAAGCAAGATAAAACATACGACATAAACCACGAGAATAAAACTACCGCCGTTAAAAGTCAGAAAAAAGAGAAAAATCTTCGGCACAACGGTTGCTGATGCAGATGACAAACCTGAATTCATTTACAGGCCCAATCTCGTCCAAAGAAGCGTCCCTCAATAAGAATCGTCTGCAGTACATATCAACATCCCTAATGATCCTGCTCGAACTAATGAAGGCCTTGCAACCGACGCAACAATAACGAAGAAGGAGGCTTTCATTAACATAAAAAATCAATGAAGTTTTACCGTATTCAAAAACATCTCCTGCTGCCGTTCTCTCGTTACATCTTTAGTCGACAATATTGCCCCGGATGGCTGGTTGGGACAACCCGTTTCATTTTTTTCTGTCCCTATCTCCCTCTCTATTTGCCTTTCTCTCTCTCTCTCTCTCTCTCTCTCTCACTCATTATATCTATATCTATCTATCTATCTGTATTATACTTATATTGATATACATGCGCACACAAATATATACACAGAAAAAAAACTACCATTTTTCTTTTCTTCTTCTTCTTTTTTTCTTATCATTAATGGATGATATTATTACCTGTAGAGGAATGGAGATGACTTTTGCTCGAGCTCGTTTCTTCGGAAAAAAAGCAGTTGGGGGTTTAATAAATAACGATCGAATAGCTTTCCACGTTCCTTACCTCGCTTTTTGCTGACATTAGCTTCCGAACAAGAACTATGAATTAACATTGGAATTGAAGAAAAGGAATAGGTTTTCCGTTTCATTCAAAATGATATGTTAATTTGTCGTTTAATGCAAATCTTATATAAGGTGTGTAAGGAATTGGCTGCCTTATTCGTGTAAAGTCGACCCAGCACTCGTAGAAACATTAGATATAGAGTTTATATTCATAAAGTAGTACGCCATACAGTGAACTTATATGAATTCATACCTTCATAAAAAATAGTTTTATTTACAACAATAAAAAGTATCAAGGATAGTGTTTTATAAGAACAATTGAAAGAGAAATTTTAAAAGACCGTTGAGATGATTTCTTCCGCGAGGACTTTTAGGAAAATTTCATATAAAATTTAGTAGTCATTAAGTATGTCTTGGTGTCTAACCGTTAGTAAAAGATATGGCGTTAAGTGTCTTTTCTTGCTATAAAATGTAGAGCAATCAGATTTTTAAAATAATGAGGGCCATATGGTCAGACTATTCCCAAAGGTAGCTTAGGTACGAGAGGCTACATGTTAAAGCAGCATTTAGTATGTATTAGGTCGATTCAAGGTA